CAGGAAGCTTGCTGAGGTGTCAGCAGTCATAGTATGATTAAGCAGTAATTTAGATGAGCTACCCATGTATGATTAACTCAGTTAATGCAATTGGTTTTAAAAGGTGTAGCAGTTCCTTACAGGACTTGCTGAAGCCTAAGGCTTCTGAGAGCACTTATACCAGTAACAGCTCTCAGAATGGAGAGCTTTTAGCTAATCTTTAAAATTCTTGAGGCTGTCTTGGTTTTCCACACGCTGCTTCAGTGGTGTAACCACTCTGGTTTGTAGTTTCTAGGTTGCAGTTAGGTTGGGGAGCAGTAGTGAATACCTAGTCTCCTATTATGTAAAACTTGGACAGGCTATACTCATGCAGTAGCACAACTCTCCCTTCTGTTTGCCTTGAGGAAACTGGCTTTGCATTTGTAAGCTACGATGTTTGTTTTATTCAAATTTGTACTACAGAGTTGAGTACTGCCTTGATTATCCTATCTGTGACAAGTCTTTTTATATATATTCACTCATGCAACTTCTGTTCTTCCTGTGGCAAACTGAACATTCAGCTGTTTTGTAATTTCAAAACAGCAGTATGGTAGAATTCAGTGCCATATGTAAGGGTCCCTAAAATTCAGTCTGCTGCTGTTTCTTGGAGTTAAATGCTGTCATTAGTATTTTTAACATAACCTTTTATTTTCTTATAGCTGCGACAATTGATCCCGCTGCCAATGCGACTACCGCCGCTGCCAATGCGACTACAGCCGCTGCGACTACCGCCGCTGCCAATGCAACTACAGCCGCTGCGACTACCGCCGCTGCCAATGCGACTACCGCCGCTGCCAATGCGACTACGGTTCATACTACTATAGGTAAAACAAAAAGACCCAATCAACTGGTGACTGGATGTAGAAGATTCTTTTGTAAAGAAATGCTCGAACTTGGAAGTGTAGTGTAGTGTGTGTTGTAATGCAATATACGTTGCTAGGATTACTAGTATAGAATGACAATGAACCAGGAACTGGTGAATAAATAAAGGACAAGGGCCTATTCACAGACCAGTGTAGTGAAGTGACCACTAAAATGTGAGGTGTGGAATACGTAAATGATTCCAAGGTTTGGAGGAAGTGGTTTGTGTATTAACTTTTTTTCCTTCGCATACAAATAATTATAAAGTGGATCAGTGATAGGTGTTTGAGTTAGACAACAATTCATGACGAGTGGGAATGGCAGATGAGTTTGACTTGTGCGTTGCCCAGTCCTAAAAGTTCTGGTTTTATACATGCTGTCATCTTAACAGTGAAGTCCTAAAAACCTCTTCTTTAAGAGCATCCCCAGCTGAAGGGAGCTAGGAGGTAGCGAGATCTTGCAGAACTTAACTGGCTCCCAGAAGCCCACCGTACGGTAGGCTGACGCTTAGCTTTGAGTACGCTTAAAAACTCTGGCACCTGTCACAGCTACATAGTGGAATATTTAATTTTTAGTAAAATAAATCTTCTGGAAAAATTGGTCAGAGATCCAGAGTTTTGTATTGATAACTGGAGGACTTTCAGGAGATAATGTAGCTGCACTTGACTGTTCCCATATTCCAGTGGTGTCACTGGCAGTTAATGATTTTCAGAAAGATACGGTATACAGTGAGTGTTCATCTCCCGTGTAGAGATATTGTACTTAAGTACTTGTTTAGTACAATATAAATTGATTCTAAAGGCTATTAAATAAAGTCCTCTGCCTTGATACAGATTCTCAGTTGTCTTCTGCTGAAGCAGCTGTCATCTTATTTAAGTATCAGCATTTATGTTGGTGTTTGAAGGAAAAGTATTTTTTGTCTGAGTAAAAAATCACTGTCTGATCTGTGGAGGGCCTTGAAATACTTGGATAGCAATGGTATGGCCAGGAAGTAAATTAAAAAAGAAATCCTTATTGCAGAAACTTGGCTTACTGCCATGCAGCTGAACATCTAAATTGTATGGGATGCAGTCTGAAGTCAAAGCTTATCCTTGCTGGAGCACAGCAAGACAAATCATTTTCATAAGAACTTAAATGACTGTGAACTTTGCTCTTGTAAACTCATGGTGTGTACGTACTATCTGAATTGAAGTTTTCTCTCAAACAGCTAACAGCACTAATGCAACTACACATGCTCCTCTACCTACAACTGCCAGTTCTTCAGCCACCAAAACAACCAGTATACCAGGTAACTTCTGAGAATAAGGGTAGTTTGTGAAGTGTTAAATGTCAGAAACACGTTGGTCAAACTAAATGAATTGGCTAATTTTAATAGCACGGCTACAACTGACTTGACTCAGCTGTAGGACCTGTCACTTGTTGGGAGGGGTGGTTTTATCTTTGTTTTTGACTTGCAGCATGATAATAGGGTGCCTTAAAATGACATTGGGCTACAATGGTGGGACTGAATTGAGGTATTTTATTTCAAATTCAGTCCTAAGTATGCCACTGTACGAAAAGCCCTCATGAAGTGAAGCTTTTTAAAACTAGCCGTCAGCAGATGTCTCTTACTTCTAGCTTCCTATCTGTTGTGGCTTCAGCTGATTTCTTTAAGCGTAACTCTTGGGGCAGAGTACAATAGAGAGAAGATATTTATTTAATGTGTATTTAAGCAAAAAAATGGGAGCAAGCAACAAAGAACGGAAGATGTGTTTTGGCTGTGAGCATTTCAATAATATACTTCTATTTAGAGGAGGGAAGCTTTGGCTTTTTGAAGTACAAACGTTGTCCAGCTGGGACTTGTTTGGTTTTGAGGTCCAAAGCAGCTTGGATATAAATAGCTCTAGCTTTGTACAAACAGTGCTTAATCAGAATTAAAAAGTTGGTATCATTAATCTAAATGCAGCTGTTAAAACATCTTTTTTGATTATTTCTAGCTTCTTCTTGGCGTTTGATTGTTTTGTCTGAGTAGACTTAATACGAGGAAGCAAACACTAAAATCTGTGTCAAATTATTGTAAGTGTTGTCCACTCATGAACTGTAATGTGATGTTTAACAGGTACAAACGCTACTGTGACTCCTGCACCCTCTCGACGCAAATCTACATTTGATGCCGCCAGTTTCATAGGTGGAATTGTCCTTGTGCTGGGTCTGCAGGCTGTAATTTTCTTTCTGTACAAATTCTGCAAGTCGAAAGACCGAAACTACCACACGCTTTAGGACCTGCCACTTTATAATGGACTAGTAGCCCAACACCTGTAGTTCACTGAACCAAAATATCTTCTGTTGCTCATGGAAGACAGCAGTTCATAATATCCTTTAAATCTCTAAAAGAAGACTTTAAAAGAATATTTTTGCAACATTATACTTGGCAAGAGGTGATATGAATCTCCAACAGGATTACTTGCAATATGCTGCATGGGTTCTAATGGCCATCTTATTTTTCTTTTGCGGCTGCTGCTGTGGGACTCTCTTTCGATAGGCCAAAAGTAGACGTTCACAGATTCTTATACTCAGTGGCAACACTGTCTTGAGTAGACAATCTCATGGTGTCTTATTGTGAAGGCTAATTTAATCAACCTTTGATGCAGTATCCCTTCAGTTTTATCAAGATGTGAATCATTGGTGACTGACTTCAGGGAGTGAAATACCATTTATACTAGCTTGTGGCCCTTACAGCACGCTGCTAGAAAGGTGAACAAAATTTGTAGAAGCAGATAATGTCTTAATGAAATAAATTAATAATTCTTTTTTTTACACAGAAATAAAAGTTGCTTGATACATACTGCATTCCAAACTAAAATCCTGTGCCCTTTCCAATTAATGTTGAGAGTGGAGAGGGGATTTATGGGTAATCTTCAGAAAGGGGAAATGAAGATTAGTGCCTTAAAAGATTAAAAATTAATAGGCTGCAAAACCATCTCTTTTATTTCACAGGTAAACAAAACCTATTAGGTACTAGCTTTATACAGGAGAACAGAATATGAGTGACTTTAAGCATTCCAGTTTCAAAAACTTCCTACACTAAACAACAGTTCCTTATTGACCTTATTTCTGAGGGTGAGGGAGCATGGTACTGTAATCTGCAGCCATAAACAGGAGATATAAGTTGTTGACCTTTTGTTCTGGCCTGCAAAGACTAAGTGCAAGTGACAAGAGTCAGTACAGTTCACTCCCTGCATTAAAAGGTAGCCATGTACAAATACTAGTGTTAGGGAAGTTAGGAGGTTTTTATTCTTTCAATGCTTCGTAAATTCACTTGTTACAATTAATTTTGGCATTCTTCTTTGGCACCCTCCCACCCTTCTACGTGTCTGCTTGCTGAAGGAGCAATAGATTGTAGTTCAAAGGATCTGCTGATCACTGATTTGATCTGAGTCAGGATTGTTATAGTCCTGGGACTGCTTTTGTGGGGAGGATGGGGAAGTGTTGTAAGGTGTGTGGGTTTCTTTGGTGGTAGTGGTTTTTTTGTTTTTGCCCCTTTCCTTGCATCGTGTTTGTGTGACCCTGAAGTGAGCTGATTCAAGAAACCTATGCAGCCAGATATTAAGTTTTTTTTTTTTTTTTCCTATCTGGATCAAAGTGTCAGCAAAGGTACGTCATCTCCAATGCAGACTGACTTGAGCACCTGTGAAAATAAACCCATAGGAAAAAAAATGGAAGTAAAGATAAAATGAAGTGGTAGGTTTAGCACTTGATACTTATCTTTTGATGTGGATTGATTGATATTCCTTGATCTTCAATTTCAGGAAAATTTGTAGCACTGTCTTTCTAGCTCTGACTTGACTAGAATTTGGCATCCAATACAACAAAATGACAGCGTTGATGCAAATAATAGTCATGGCAGTGTAGCTTAAATATAAAGCAAATTCTAAGCGCACTTTAGTTGCAGTGTTGCTTTCTCGTGCTCTTCTAGTTTAGTGGCATTGTTTCTATTGTGCTGCATAGAAAACTGAAGTTGCTACAAAATGCAGAAGTTAATTACCAGTACTGTATCTTAGTTTTGTTTAGAAAACAAGCTAAAAAAAGACAATCAGCTCAGGTTTAATAAACAGCAGAGTGAGCAGCCAGTTTCCAGCAACAGTATATGGATTAGATGGTATATCCTTGGCCTTATTATGAAATCACTTAATCTGTCCTTTCCCTGTCTCTGATTTACTTTATTACATTCATTCATTTAAAAAGATACCCATGAGCTTGTGTTCTGTGCTTTGAAATGAGCAAAATACTCTCCTAAAGTGTGACAGAGTTCTCCTTCAGCTCAGCAGAGCAAACTATATTGCTAGTATATAAATTTGTCTTTCTTTTCTTTCTTTTTTTTTTTCTTTTTTTTTTTTTTGCCTCAAAGGGCTATCTTTTGGGAAATTTGCAGAAAAATGCTACAGGATGCAAAAAAATGCTACAGGATGCTTCACCACATGGAAGACATTGCCACAGTAAAGTTGTTGCTCTGTAAAATGTTGCTAAAATGCTTACTCAAGAGCTGTGCTGATCCCGATTTAGTTCATAAAGTATGCTGATGAAGCAAACAAAAATAATTTTTAAAGTGCCTTAAAATTGCTTAATCTTTTGCCTCAAATTTGTTTAAAAGGGTAGAAGGGGTACCTTGCCTTAGTTACTAAATTTTTCTTGGTGCCAGCAATTTCTACTTTCAAAGACTTTAGGAAACCCAGGATCTCTGATGTGTACAGATGCCAATCTGAAAGAAACTCAAGCTTTGTAGTACCTGAATTTAGTCTTGTTCTGGAAGGCCTGCACTGCACATAGCTTGCTCAGTAGCTTCGCCAACAAGATCTCAAAATAAAAAGTAATAACTCCTTTGCAAAATTGCAGTATCGGCTAATCTGTGCTGTGTACTAGCAAATAACCTGAAGTAAAAACTTGCAATTTTCCTCGGCCTTGTGTCCTGAAGTGGAAGGTAGCTCATAGATCTGTAGTTGTATTTGCCCCAAAATCAATTTTAGGCACTGAACTGTAGTGACTTTTCAAGTTTTCTGGCTTTTTCTTGAAGCCAACTTGTGCAAGTATCAAGCTGTTATCTTATGAATGTTCTTTGCAAGTGTTGCTGTTAAAGTTTGTATTTTGTCTTCAGTGGAAGAAAACTGAAACAGTTGTAACTGCAAAACCAAACTGATGAATAAAATCTGGTGAATGGATTTTTACTTGTAAACTTTCTCTTATGTGAGCAATCCCAGAGGGACTATCTGCCAACTTCCTAAATATTGTCTATGATAATCAAGGAACACTGGAAAAAGAGAGAATAAAGGTATGAAGAAGTTAGCTCTTCTAAATAAAATATTAACTTTGAAGGGGTGGGGGAGAGAAGGTGCTGGGGAAAGGCAGCGCAACAGTGCTGATGATTCATCTTTAATCGGGCAGAAAAGGTTCAGTGTGCAGGCAGCACCTCCAGGGGCTGTGAGCACCACTTCGGGCAGGATGTGGTGGCCTACGGTTGCAATAGGGAAGCAGTTAAAAAAAGCAAACCCATCGCTTCAGCTCTGAAAACTCAACTGCACTTTGCACTGCCACGTTCCAAGGTTACCATAATAAAAGGAAGCTTTTTAGTTTTGACCAATATCCTTGTTGCTACGGTATATTTCTGTACTGTGCTGCATTGTCTTTGAAGAGAGGATGCCCAGTGCTGTTTTTTCTTGGAAGAAGGATCTGCATCACCCACTAAAACAAAGAGATTCTAGCAGATTAATTGATTATAACTGGCATCGAGCACTGTATCTAAATACGTTGATGTATACAAGCACAGCAGTGGAGGACTACTGCATCCCTTTCGTTTCTGTATAAATTGTTCTTCTCTTACTCCAAGACTGCCAGTTCATTGGCAATGCTCGAAACACTTCCTGGGTTGAACAGAAGTACTTTAGGTTTGCTTTTGGACCAGACCTTGTTCCTGTAGCTGCATGAAGATAGCAGGAAGAGATTGTTCATTCAGGTGTGGCAACAGCATAGCTGCCATCCTCTCCCTCCATCTGCTGGGCACCTGAAAGCATAAGTAACAAGAAGAGTCACCAACGACAGCATGGCCCTCCAGTCTGGTGGAGGAAAAAAAAATCCTCCTTTTAGCCAATCATCTGAAATAGTTAGCAGAACCTTTTTTTCCCTTTGATCTAGGGAACCATACATACTGGTCACCTTGCCATTAAAGATAGTTTTTTAAAGGGATTTGACTCATTGTCCAGGCAAACCCTGTGTGGTTTATATACAAATCACAATAGCAAGCAAGTTGCTTAACTTGCAACCATATCATCCTCCTGTTACCAGTGCCACCATTGCTTACCGTCTTTGCTCTTTGTGGGGTTCCTCCTGTTAAAGTCCTACTTCTTGCATGAGGCTTCAAAGGATGCTGCTGGTAATTCCTGAGCTGAGCAGCTGCTGAATGTCTGCTGCTCTGGACCCAAGCGACCGAACCTACAGTGTTACCAACAACACAGAGTTTAAGTGGAACTTGGGTTGAATAGATACCAAAGTACAATACTGTTACTTCTGATCTTCATTGTGTGAACACACAATGTTAAAAAAAAAAAAAAAAAGCTGAACACCCAGGGTAGTACTAACAGAACAGATTGTTTAGTCTGATAAATACAGTGGTTCATGTATGATTCTGACACAGAGCAGAACAAAAACTACTTGCAGTATTTTTACATATCAGCTCACCACAAGCCTTTTTCTTCTGTAGTAATGAACGTACATGCATTTATTCCTCCAGCAGGAGAAAGCTCAATGAAGCAGAAAATTCTTGCTGCACCAAGTCTAGTCTACCCCATTACATGCAGCTAGTTTCCTTACAACTCTGGCATTTCTAGTCCTGTTGAAAGCCAAGATCAGAGATTGTTGTTGTTGTTGTTTTGCCTTTTTTTTTTGTAATCTGTTCCCAGTGACACTAAATTTCCCAGTAAATTCTAGTCTTCCTCTTTTTAATCTTCTAAAAATTAGACATGCAGCCACTTAACTCTAGCTCTTCAGCCACTAAAAAAGCCTCACTGAATCAAATGCTATGCTTGCCATCATTCATAATGTGATTGAACTCTGATTTGTTTCTATGTACAATATGGTTTTGCTGTACCATTAACTATAGGTTAACCTGGCCAATAGCCTTAGGTAAAAAAAAGTCAGAGTATTTTTGCTACATAGATGTAATCCTGAACTTCTTAATTGAAATGGTGGGCTTCCTCCTCAGATACCATTCAAGATGTTTCACACCGTGTTGGTTAGCTGTTTCTGACAAAATTTCAGTGGGCATGTCCCAACGGCTCAGGCTTTCTGCTGAAGCACCAGGTGAGCAGACAGCTCTTCCCAGAGTGCACAACTACCCAGCATAGTCAGACTGTGTTCAGTGTCCGTGCCAAAGTCCTTAGAGGTGTGAGAGGAATAACGACTCAAGCATCACATGAACACAGAAAGAAGTGCCACAACTCTTTTACACTATCAAGACAGGACAAGGATCAGTGCCGTGAGAGGGAAGAGGCGGAAGATGTGAATGAAGATGGAGGAAGAAGTGTGGAGAAAGAGCTAGAGGACATGGGTCTCAAGGCTAATCTGCAGCTTCTGCTTACAAATTAGCTGAAAAGTCTTACTCCATGCAGGCAATTCAGAGTTGCCATGGCAAACATAAAACAAAAACTTCCTTGCCTTTAAAACTTCCTTGCCTTAAAACAAGGCTATAGCAATTGAACAGTTGCCACATCTATGCAAATAGGAATGGCCAAGTGCTACTGGTCTTGAGCCACGAGAGTGACACTCTGTTATTCAGATTTATAGAAATGACAAATCTTTACATGCTGGAAGTCTAGCTAGACTTATGAGGTGCACTAGTATTAATGCATCAAAAGTGACGGCTATTTAGTATTGACCTATTAACTGGAAAAGGACTTCTTATACTGCCTGTACTATGGGATAGCTGCTTTGCAGGCTTCTTTCTGCCTTTTAAAAAGAAAAAAAAAAAACACAACATCCATCTACTCTTACAGACACAGGATAATAATTTCAAAAAAGTAGCTAGACTATATTGCAGATGTTTAATACACTTCAGATGAGGTGCCTATATTTTGATGAGTTTTGGTTCAACTCCTGTTGAACACAGAGTGCTCCAAGCTCCCTGGACCATTTTTCCAGTTCTGCATCACATTGAGCAATAGTAACTCACTGCAAGCAAAAATCATCCAGCTTCTTTCTGTCTTGCCTTCTTTCCTTGTACTCAGTATCATCAATGTGACTTACAGGCTTTGCACCTACTTTTCCCCTGAACTTGACTGGTTTAAAGCCAGAGAAATCAGGTATATGCATGCATTAATTTAAGACTTCCCAGTGCTTTATTGCCCCATGACTGGTTCATGTGTTGACTTCAGCAGTGTGTTAATGAGCATTTCTTGGTTTCTTCTGGCAGGAATAACTAATACTCCCTGCAAAAACAAAGTACGGTTCGATTTTTAGTACTCCTTCATGGCATGGAAATGCGCCTTGGAAGACTTCCCCCCCCCCCCACACTCTTTTTGTTTTGTTGCCTTTTGGTTACTAGGACTTTGGGTCTTGCCTAGCTAATTTTCTGGATGAGTTTGACTAAAGAGCAGGAAGGATTTTTGATAACACAGAGAAAAGCAGCAACTTGGGGCAGATAAAATAGAAATCGTTAATCAAGCCATTTAAGCTACAACAATTAAGTAAGCATTACAAAAATTTCCTAACACCTGAGAAGAAAGATTTTTATTACAGCTTTAAAGTTCCTGGTTAATTCTGTTAAAGGGAAGAAAGCTTTTACTGCTGTTTTAAGATCCTCTAAGGATACCTGCAATCATAGGCACATATTTAATGGAATAACCCACATACAGGTCTTGTTTGGCTTCCCCACATGATTTATAAGCAAGCTGTTCCAAGAACAGGGGCGCTGATGAAGCCTGATTTTCTTCTACTTGGGATCCTAATTGTCCCCTCCCCGAAATGCAGCTCCCCTCATGAGTCCCACGATCTCAAAGCAAGGCAAAAGACAATACAAGTTATGGTTTAAAGTTATTAACTTGGGAGCCAATGTTTCTTGTGCTGCTTGACCAACTGCTGTTTAAGGCGTTACAGAGTCTTTCAGTTCTGCCTGACTGGTTTAGGGCTTTCTCCTCTACCTGGATGCTTTCGTTACAGAGGAGGCTTTCTTCTCCTCCTCCACATTTGGCTGAAATTGTCTGTTGGTGCAAAGGTTAAGGAGGGATTCAGAGAGGTGGACACATGAACTCATATAAGATTTGTTTCTCTAAGAAAGTAGGTTACAACTCCTCCTTGCCTTACCTGCACTCGCATTCCTCTGGGAAACTGCAGCTTCCAGGGCATAAACTTGCTGCTGCAGTTCATCAACCCGCTGGAAAGCCTCCAGTTTTAAACTGCACTCTTGGGTTAGCTGGCTTCTTATCTAAAAGGGAGTAAAAGGATTAATGGCAGCAACAAAAAAACATCATCTGGCAGTTCTGGCTCAAAGCAGGGTCCCAGATTTAAAGGACACCATGTTGATGCCCTGTACATTCTTGTGAATGAGAGGCCAATCACTTGTTGGCTGAAACGATCCATAGGTACACTTTTGCAAAACATATCGCCGGTCCCCCTGGATGCACCATACAACACACACAGTGCACATCATCATTGACATTCTTGGTAGTGTTTAATAGAAATCTGCATTTTGAGCATTGCAGGAGGAAGCTATAAACAATATGGAGGCTTTTTCTCACTGTCCTCTGTGTGTAACCCTAACTACACAAGACCCTATCTCCGATTTCAGGGTGGAGGTATGTGAAAAAAGAGCAGCTTTTCCCTTATCTCTCCCAAAGATGATGTAATGAGCAGTCTGTGTGTGCGTGTGTTTGTGTGTGTGTGTCTGTGTAGTTGGCCTGAACACAGAAAGATGTGAAAGCCAACATTTGAATCAAAAGATACTCATTTGAATCATTTCCTCAAAAGATACTCCTTGCATGAAACTAAAACTATATTTGTAGTTTGTTAGTGTTACTGCCCGTGTAGGTGCTAGCTGCAGCTGGGACTGTCGTGCGGCAATAAAAGCCTCCACGCTGCAGTTGCCAGTTTTGTTTTTCTCCCCTTCAAGGCTGATGCAGCTGTTAACACCTCTGGTCTCTCCAAGGGTTATTTTGTAAAAGCAGCCGAAAAGCTCAGCGCTGTATCACAAGCAGAAAACAATGAAATCAGAGGCCTCACGTGCTTGCGCTAACTGCTTTCACTGTGTACAGGTTTCTCACTGTCATGTGATTTTGGTCAGAGAACGTGCCAGCAGCCTGAGAAAGTGTTCCCAGCAGAACGGCGTTTGTCATCCTCTTTCTGGAAAACAAACAGCCTGAGCTTTCACCTTGATACGCTAGGAGACTGAAGACAGAAAATACTTTGCTTGGTTTACAGGAGAGGCAGTCAGATGCATTTATAAAGTTTTTTTCTCCCTAGATCATGAAAGCAAATGGATAGGAGATTTTGGTGGCCGCAAAGTTGTCTGTTAGCACATGGATTCATCTAGTTTTACAGTATAATCAAATCATTTTTCAAGCAATACTTTGTTCTGCAAGCTCCTCTGCAAAAGAAACACTACACCTTTCACAGCAAGAGCCCACTCTGCCAGCTGTGCTGTACGGAGAAATTATATTTGCTTGGCTAAATCAGTTTTTAAATTGAAAGTAGTTAAAAATCTCTGCAGTCATTTTTACAGGGAGATAACGTCAAAGTGGATCTTGTTACTCAATTACACTAAATCAATGATTAGCAATGCAGTAGCCAATTTCAACTCAATACATCAATTCAGTACGATGGCATCAGTTTAGTTAAAAGTAGTGCTGTTTCTGTGGCCAGAATGCATTAAAGCTGTTCCCTTCCCAGTGTGTTTATTTGGTCATCCAGCATCTGGGAAACACTCGTGTAAAGTACGTGACACAAAGAGGGGAGAGCAGAAGGTTTATATCAAACGTGGAACAGAGAAAAACGAAAGGGCAGCAGTGTGTCGGCTCTGCAGCCCAGGCACTGAGATAGGAAAGTCCTGCCTGGAACACATCATGGGGAGAGCCGGGAAAGCGCCGGGCGCTGCACACCCACGAATGTGGCGCCGGCAGGGAAGTAGAGCCTGAGCATCCATACCTCCTCGTTTAGCTTGGTGATGAGGACAGTGGTGACAGCAGAGGCCTTGGAAACACCACCGGGGAAAATCCCAGCACGGGATGCATGGCTGGCCCAAGCCACCCAAGCCACAGAGCCACCTGCGCGCCCTGCTCCCCTCAGGGTGCAAGGGTTTCCTATCACGTGCTGTATAACCATTCCCACTGCATCACAGCCTTACAGGAGCTCTCAGGTAGTTTATTTGTAAAATAAGGGGAATCATACTTGCTTTTTAGGGCAACGACACTGAATCAGGCTCAGAAGCAGGGCCTTTGAAATATCAGAAACACAAGATGCCACCCAAAGGTGGAGCCTGACCCCATGCTCCCAGCACATGCGGCCCTGCATGGTGCCAAGGCTCGTGCTATGGGAGCCTCCTGCAGAGCCCTGGGAGGGCTACCGGTGCAGGAAGAGGGACGTGCCACAGCACTGCGAAATCCAGACACCTGATGGAGTACATCCAGGTGTACCTGAGACATGTCCCTCCAGAAATGTTGCCATCTTTGTCCTTCGACTGTGCAGTATGAGGTTACCTGCTGCATTTCTTTTTTGACCCTCTTTTGCTGAAGTTGGCCCATTTTAGAGGATTTTTCAGCTTCCTTGATCAGGTATTTCAGTCTCTGTTCTTTTTCTTCCATCTCTTCAAGTGTCTTCTTCATGTGTTCAGCTTTCATCGCACTGAGTATTTGCCTGCTCCTGGCTTCTTGTGTCTTCCTATGCTCTACTTCCAACAGCATTTGTTTCTGCAACATGAGATTATGAATATTTCGGACTCGGCTCCCTCCCCCCCAATTCCCATACATACCCGTTTATGTTTACTTTTAAAACCTGGTGGGCAGCTCTCTGAAGTCTGTGGTGTCATCCCCACCAGAGCTGAATGAGGAGAGAGCCCATCCCACACAGCTTGGTATTTACAAAGCTCCCAAAGAAGATACTGAAACGTTGGTGAAACAAATCTGAACTACCTTATGAAAGGTACAGACTCAGACCTAAACTCAAAATAAAGTCTGAGTTGGTAAGGGGGAGCAGGAGCAGAACTGTATTTACACTATGGCTTGCTCGAGAGAGGAGCCTCAAAACAACATTTGTGTGTAGAATTTGTTCAACTGCAAATAAACAGGGCAGTTGGTTCCCATTTCCTCAGGCCTCTGCAGTCTGCTTTCTGCAGCCCACCTCTGGTGTGCGTGTGGAACGTCTTTAGAAGAATAAACAAGGGAAGGGAAAAGTAAACACGTTCTCCTCAGACGCTGCTGTTTCTACTCTGTGCGCTGAGAAGGCCAGTAAGCGTGGCGGCACTTCAGAATCTGTATCACGTTTTTGTACGCCGCGGCAGTACAAACCCCGCACACCGGGTCAAGGGCCCCCTCTACAGTCAAGGCTACTGTGGGGGAACGGAGTCTGCTATTGGGAAACACCACCTGCCAATCTATCACAAAGGAAGAAATCAGGAAGAAGAGCAAGATCTATGTCAGAAACTGGAGGGGGAAAAAAAGTTCTTGAAAGATGGTAGAGGCAGGGAGTCTTCTGGAAGTAATTGACAGCTTGTCAGTTAATAAAAACCAATTTATCAAAAGCACGGCTATTCCAGTAAAAAAACTGAACACAAAGTCAGAGTCAAAAGCAGTCAGAGCCCAAACGTTCATCTTTGGGAACCAGCTGTGCCTTACCAAGACTGGAGTTTCATACACTAATAAGGTCAGAATGGAGCGACTGAGTATCACATTTGACTTCTTAACATCACATGCCACAACAGTAATCTCAATTACTGGAATGACCTAGCTGGTTTGGCTAACGCATATTTCCCAGCAGGCATCCAGTCTTGACCTGAAGATATTCACAGTCGGCCATACTGTCATTTCCATGGTTAATCACATATTGAAAAGGTTGTTTCCGATTTAGTGTTTTCACTGTCTGGCTTCAACTTCTAGGCACTGTCTCGTTATGCCTTTCCCTAAGAATCCTTTAGTATCTGCTATTCGCCCCTCTGCAGAAATACTTGTAGACTGTAATCAAGTCAGTCTTCTTTTAGATAGGTTAAATAGACTGAGCTTTATAAGCGTCCCTTGCTAGAAAGCATTTTCTGTAGCCCTCGCACCATTTTCTGTAATTCTTTTCTGCACCCTCTCAAGCTTTTCGTTGTCCTTTTAAAGCAGGAGACCCTGGAAGCAAAGGCAGTGTTCCAGCCTGTTGCATGTAAAGATACAAACTCACTCTTAATGTATCTGTACTCTTCCCCCTTTTATCAACTGGAAGGCTGCAGCATCTGCCCTTTCCACTACTGCACCACATGGTCAGTCATTCGTCTGTTATGATCCCCGCCCTTCACAGCTCCATCGATTTCCAGCAGCCCCCCTGCTCTGTAGAAGTATTCGACAAACTTGTTCTTTATCGGAAATCCTACTTTGAAGGAGACCCATGTTAGCAAGCCATCTGTATGGTTCTGTACGTCCGCTCTGCCCACACCACTATTTAGTAAATGTTACTCACCAAATTCACTGACATTCCTCCCCAAATCTGCCATGGGTAAATTTTATAATTTTATATTTATTTCCAAAGCAAAAGTGGTGAATATCGATAGGTATCCTATCAAGCCTTGTAGAATTCCATCAGAAATATCTTCATTTCACAAAAATAATTCATTTTTTATGTCAAAAAACTACCTCTTAATGCATTAAAATTGTTGTTAACATTGCACTGCTAAATTTTAAAATAAAAAGGTTATGTGGTGCTAACCCAAGCTTTACAAGGTCATTCCAAATGTCTATTACACCTACAGCACCACGTTTATCAATCTAACTTGTAACCTTATCAACAGAATAAAACGAGATTCGTTCGACAAGACTTATTTTCTGTACAGCTGAGTTGACTGGCATTAGTTATACTGCAAGTGAAGGGCGTGCTTTTCAGTTTGACTTGGAGGAATGGGCCATGTCAGTGTGCGTAGCCATGTGTGGAAGTGAAAGAGAGCTTGTTACGGCAGTGATATATCCATGAAGGCATACAGATGGTAAAAATCATGAAACAAATTTGGTCTGGATTTAATGACAACATCGCTGGAAGTGTCCTTGAAATTTAATGATGGGGTGGAACACTAATAACCTGAAGATTTCTAACTTAAAAATGTTGTGTGTGTGGAATAAAATATTGCCTTTTTTCCTTTACTAAAACATATATCCAGCACTGTTGACTGCATATATAAATACAGTGCCTGCAGCTGTCATTTTGGCACGTGATTCAAACTTTATTCGAGATTCTCCCTGGTTCTTTCTCCTCGCAACGGTGAAAAGGCTCAAACGAATGCGTTGTTTCAATGCCATAAAAATACCTATCCAGTTTCAGTAACCGTAAGATTCAATTGCTTTTGAAAGCATTTCTCTTCTAGCATTAACAGTAGGCAAAATCCTCATTGAAGCAAGTGAGAAGGAGAGGAGAACGCTATGTTGATGAATGAGGACCAAGTTAATTTAAATACCTGTTTTTCTAGCTGTTTCTTTAGTTTGCCATTGTCTGCTTGAGATTTTGCCAGAGCTTTCCGCACAGCCGCCAGCTGACCCTGAAACAAAGTCACCTCTTGTTCTGCCATCATCTTAGTGTTCAGCCACTCTTTTTTGTTTTGGACGGCTTCCTGCAAACACAGAGAGCAGAACAGAAACAGTTATGAGGGCAGTGATTTTCTCTCTTTTGTATAGTGCTAGATCACTTGAAGAGTGATCTCTAAGAGATTTTTAGTAAATTGGGGTTGAATTGCTCTGATTTTTTTCTAAGAAAGGCCTGACAGATTTCTGGAAGGCAAAGTGGGTAACACGATGGTCAAGAGCGATTCATTACGGAGAGAAATGTTAGAGGGGGGTTTTTTACTCATTTTTCCTTGGGCCTGATTAACAGGCATAAGTACTCCAGCTGCAGTGTCAATATCTCCTTACTATAATAATATTTCCTTACTATAATATTTCCTGACTGAAACGACAATAATCTTTTCTATGGGTACAACTGCACCTCTTTTTAATTATACTCACACATTGGAACAGTTCAAGTTCTTGCGTGTAAGCAAGTTCAGAGCAATGCAAAACTTGATCTTTCTTATTCATTAGAAAGATTAGTAGATACCAATCTGCTTATCCTTTCATTGTCTCTCAAGGAAAAATGTGTGTGATGCAGCTTGTTTTCATTCTGGGCACGGTCTTTTTGTTTGTTTTAAACACAGACATAAATGTGTATGTATATACATGTTACTGTGCCAGGCACAGCAGCTCCCTCTCCTTTCCCACCCATTTAAACTGGAAAAAGCAAGATCCAGTACTCTCTGCACTTTGAGTAGAGGACGGTGAAATACAAAGTCTTAGATCTTCAGGCTCGTGTCAAAGTTAGCCACAAGAAAGTTATGCCTCAGCAAGATGAGCTAGTTTATCATTTTTAAAAAGCCAAATTTTCCCAGTTATTTTTCTCTGTTTCAGACTTTTCTTTTCAATAAAGAAAGCAAGCTATTATTTCTTATTTAAATCCACAAATTTGCCATAACTCAATCCACTTTGACTGATCTATGTTTAATATGAATTAATAAAACATTTGAATGATTTAGCATCTCCCTGATATAACTTAACTAAGTGTATGCACATCCAGCTTTATTTGGTTTTAAAATTAACAAGCCCACAGAAACCACTCTGCTTTTACTCATTTTAAATTAACAAATATGATCCATTCTGCCTTCGCCTGGCTTGACATGTGCAGCTAATTAACCCATATAACAATCAATAACCTGTTTGTTCCATTCTAATCAGCCTCATTTAAAGCAGCAAGGCACTTTTCTTTCCATCCATCTTCACTTTAGTTTAATTTAGTCATTTTTGTGCTTCATCTTGCATTTCTGTAATTAAATTTATAAACCTCATGCTGTGTTCTGCTTTCTTTAAGCAGATACCAATTTCAAAAAACTCAGCCTCCTCCCAAGCAAGCAGTCGATTTCATTTTCACTTTATGGTGGCCTTTTCCATATGTTTTGGTCAGTTGTGAAACAGTTAATTTTGATAAATAGTTCTCATTAGTCTTCCGAGTTAATAGCTGAATTAGGAATACTGTAGGCTACTCATACTTCCTAGGCTCTTGTTTCAGGCAGGAACCATTTGTTTCACTCTCTTCACATTTGAAGTCCACCTTTTTACCCATGATTTAGAGGAAAACAAAAAGCTTAGACTTCATACCTCAAAGGGCCGGTTACGATGAAAGCCTATAGACTTACGGAATAACAGGGAGTCTGCCCAGTCTGACCATTAGTTTCGTAGGAAATAAGACACTAATAACAAACAAACAAAATGGTAGAGAAATACCACCTTCTCTGCATCTCTAAGCTTTGCGGAGAGTTGTGCCTTCTGAGTGGTTTGTTTCCAACAGTTCAGAGCCTTCAGCTTACACACCAGCTTGCCTAGTCTGATGTTTTCATCCCGCAAGAACTGCAGCTGTTCCTGCTAAAGAAGATGTCAAGAAGAGAGGACCCACAAAGATTACTTTCCTCAGGAAGAATATGTGGTTTTGAAGTAAATGCTATTGTAAAAGCATGCAACTGTATTTCATTTTAATTTTCAAATCCTCTAGTTTTGCAGCTTGAAACAGTTGAGCCTTTGGCAATAAATTTCTATTACAGTTTCTCCAGGGAAACAGGAAATGTGAACATTGCCCAGGAACGGCGTTAAAAGAAAAAGAAAAAGAAAAAGAAAAAGAAAAGAAAAAGAAAAAGAGAAAGAAAAAAAAAGAAAAAGAAAAAGAAAAAGAAAAAGAAAAAGAAAAAGAAAAAGAAAAAGAAAAAAAGAAATCAAATCCAAGATACCAAGCAGGTAAACAAATCAGAAATGAGACATTGTTAATGGTGATAAACATTCTGATATAGCTAAATGGGGATTCTGGTTCACATCATATTTAGTAGCCTGTTTCACTCTAATTACAATATCCTTTATAAGAAAAAAATTAGTGGATTCTTGACAAGTACAGTATTTTTTGTTTCTTCTCTTTGTTCAAAATAGCAGACTTGCTCCTGAAAACTGTCCTTATGGCAGAAGACAGCGGTTCCACTACACAAAAAGCACAGAAATGATGGTTGCAGAGGACCTCTGGAGGTCATCTGGTCAAACCTCCTGCCCCAAGGATTGTCGACAACCCTCAGCCAGGTAAGCATGGCCTCGTCTAGCCAAGTTCTGACCATCTCCAGAGGTGGAGCTCCCACAGGCTCCCTATGCAACCTGTCCCAGCGCTGCTTCACCCCCATAATGAAAGAGTTTTCCTGATAGCCAATACAAAAGTCCCTCACCACAACTGATGGCCATTGCCCCTTGTTTACCATTTGTCACTGCAAAGAAGAGTTCAGCTCCTGTCCTGTTCAGCTCACTCCCACTTTGTGACTTCCCTTCCTGCAGCTGAAGGCTGCTGTTAGAGCAACTCTTCAACTCTTTTCCGCCAGACTAAACCAGTTTAACTACCTCAGCTTCTCTGTGTAGGCAATGTGCTCCAGAGCAGATGCCTGACTGTCCTGGCAGCCCTCTGTTAGACCCTCTCCAATTTCTCAACTCCCCTCTTGTACCAACTGGCGAGCCCCACAACAGGACTCAATTCCAGGAGCCACCTCATCGGTGCTGAACAGAGAGGAATAATACCATCCTTCTGGCCACTCTTAATGTAGCCCCGTATGCAGTTTGCCATATTTACCCACTGTCGGCAGGGCTGCCACTCAGGCAGCTGGCTTCCAGCCTGTACTGCTCCACCTCTTCTGTGTTTCTGCTTCACGAACTTTATACAGCTTTTGTAAATCCAGTCCTCAAGTTTAAGAAGTGCCTCTGAACTGAAGCTCTACCATTCAGTGTCAACCCTCCTTCTTACCCATTAGGTCCCTCATTAGTTTTATCTGCAACTGGGCTTTGGCCTTCCTAATTTCACCACTATGGGCCTCAGAAATGCCTTGATACTCTGCCTTTGCTGTCTGACCATGTTTCCACTACTTGCACGCTTTCTTCTTGCATGCTAGTCCTTCAAGAAGATCCTTGCTTAGTCACGCAAGGCCAAGCTTCTGCTGAATTTCCTGGTTTTCTTGCATAACAGGGCAGCTGATTCTGAAATTTCTTAAGGGTTCTTTAAAAATCAGCCAGCTTTCCTGGGCACTGTTTCCCCTCTCAGCAGCTTCCCAGGGATTTTGCCTAGCAGTTCCTTAAATAAGTCACAGTCTGCTGTCCTGAAGTCCCAGGTCCTAGCACTCCAGTGTAATTCTGCAGCCTTCCTCCAGATCCTGAATTCAATTATCTCATAGTCACTGCAGCCTAAGATGACTTCTATGACCACACACACCATCAGATTTCCAGATGAATGAAAACCCCATGAAGGTCAGGATGTGAAATCAGGACATTTGTCTTGGCTATCTGTAGAAAGCCCCATCCAATTTATCCCCTTGACCAGGGAGTCTGTAACAGATCCCCACCAGGACCAGGGAGTCTGTAACAGATCCCCACCACAATCATGTCATCGCCAATGTTCCTCCCTCCCCTGACCTTGACCTATAGTCTTCTAGTAGTATATCTCCAGATGCATACAGGAGCCCTAGGCAGACAAGCAACTCCTTACACAGAGCGCAATTCCTGCTCCTCCTCTTCGCTGCTTATCCTTCTTAAACAGCCTGTAACCACCCATGGCCGTGCTCCAGCTGCGTGCACCAGCTCACCAAGTTTCCATGACTCTGTTCACATCACCATGCAGAGACTTTCCTCACTTTCCTCATTCGTTGCCTCTGTATGCTGTCCTTTCTGAGCAGGAATCTAAATCTCCCTGCAGCCTTCTCACACACAGACCTCTTCCATTTCTCTTCATTCCTCATTCACTCCTGAGCCTCCCTTATCACTCACTGAACCTCGCTGAAAGAACTGGCTTATCACTACAGTTATATCTCCCTCCACAAGCTTCTCTGCTGGGAAGATCTGCAGGCATATTTGCTTTAGACAGAGGTATTTAGCCATTATCCATTTGATCTCATCTGTATTCACTGATTGACTATGCTACCATAATTTGGGTGCAAACTGACCATTCCTGAGCAGGAATATCTCTGACTATAAAAGGGATTGATTTGGAAGTTGTAGCCTGCAAAAGACTTTCTAGGTTTTAGTTTATAACTCCTAGAACCTCAGTTCTGGGGGCATTTTTTCAAAATATAAAGTTGAATATATTTTTGATTGTAAGTATTTCCAATTTGAAAAAAAGAGACTCCGCTTATTTATGTGACTAGTTTGCATGATACGGAGATAAAACTCCCATCAGTGGATTTCTCTGGCTCACTGAAACATCAAATTCTCTTTCCCCCACCCCAAAAAGAGACAGTGACAACACAGTCTGATTGAGTGTGAGTTCACATTTACACTTCTTCAGATCCAAGTTCAATATGTGATGATGTTCACCTGTGTAGAAAGCAGGCCAGGATTTTAGCCTTGCATTCATTTACTGACACAGATACATATTTCCTTACTTTAGACAAATGTTCTTTCAAGTCATCATTATTTTTAGCGGAACCAAACTTTTTCTTCAGATCAATCATATTGTCAACTCCTTCTCTTCTCACTTCACTGATGATTTCAAACACTCGTTGGTCGATGCTTAGGCGATAGTCATCCAACCTTCCCTGCAATTACAAATACAACTCATAAGAGACGAGAAGTGCACATACGGGAAAGCGGCATTCAGAAGATTTTAGAATGTATGTATTTAATGGAAGTAGCAGCATCATGGTGAAAGAATGGGCTTTCTAGTGAGAAGCAGACTCACTCTAAGGACAGCAAAAGAAATCACAAGGTTGCTCAAGTCACTCTTGCCCAAAACACAGACCTTGGCCTTGTGGACGTGAATCAAACCCTCGGGATCAGATCCAGGCAGTTCTGTATTGCCACAGTAACAATCAGGTCAGTTTTTATCATCTAGATTGGGACACACTTGTTTTTGTAAGTAATGGCCTATGTTACCCCAAAGAAATCAGTGGACTACTTGAAAACAAAGGCATTATTAGAGGGAGCAATATTATTACCCAGTGGAGCTGAAGTCTCTAAGAAAAATAATGTAGCATATTACAAACTGAAGCATTATATTCAAAAAGTTCCCACCACTGTAACTAAACAGAGCTCCCATCAATCTTCCTAATGTGGTACCTGTTCCCTCTAGAATATGTCTCCTGTCTTGGAACAGGTACACTATTTTTCTACTAGATTTTTTTTTACAAGATGCTTCTAAAGCACACAGCACAGAGATAAATGATTCGCCCATCTATCCACCTGGCGCACTGCAGAAATGTATTCCTTTGTGTGCTACACATGTTGGCTAAGTTGTATAGCAGCACAAAAAAGACTTATCAATACCCCCTCTTATTTTGTACCTACTTTTAGATGGATACAAGTCACAAATAGGCTCCGCACTAACGATTCATATTCATCCCGTACTTCTTTTCTTATCTTCTCTTTGAGACCAAGATTTTCTTCTTCTGAGTCAGCGAGCTGGGCTCGGAGAGCAGTGATTTCCATAATCATTCCATGACTCAGCCCAGCAATCTATCACAGCAGAGAAAGTGAATGAGTAAAGCTAGGGATGAACAGGCAGCACAGCCTAGGAGTAAACAATCCAGAGCTCTGAATATGTTATGTGATACTGAATCAAGTATAAAAGCTTGAATAACTTCCTAACTGAGCGGCTAAAGGAAAATAATCCACTCATGCAACAGAATAATCCATTAGGTACATCTCTGTTGGTTTTAGAAACGTTTCTTCTTCTTTCCTGGAAACAGTGCGAAGGATTGTGGTCATTCTAGATCAGTATTTCAAGAAGCCAGATGCACAGGTTTCATTACAAAACCTTAAAAAGCCTATTTCTGGTCATCAGGAAAGAAAGATCTCCTTGCTAATGGGTATGAGAGCTGACAGAAGGAAATGTGTGCAGAGGATAGAGGAGCAGAAGGATTAGGGAGTCTGATTTTAGGAGAAGATCCTATGCCTGTCTCTGCTATGTGGGTGAGCCTTGCCTCCTGCAGTGTAACCCCCTCCTCCTCCTGGAGGGAACATCACAAGAACTGTGACTAGGTTGTGTTTAATAAGCTGTGATTTTCACTTATGGGATCAAATGTGCTATATCTGTTCACAAGCCTGTACATATAGACTATTCAATAAATGAGAAGGACAATTGTGTGTTCCATTTGTTGATATCTGACAACACAGCACTAGCATACTCCCAGAAAGAGCACTCAGGTCAGCACAAATAGGAAGGTACATGATAAAAATTAAATAGATTTAAATGACAGAATTTAAATTTCACATAGGTAGGCCACTGCTAAGTATAACCACTATTTAGTGGTTACATATATCATAAGTATGACCGCTGTTTGGTCATTTTTATACCCCTGAACAGTGTTTGCAAACAGATGAGCCCAATGTGGGAAAGCAAAAAATCATTCTGAACAAATTACATAGTTAACATAACAATTAAGCACAAATGCACATTACAGGCACAGTGACAGCACAGTCTGCTTTGTGGTTACCTCCACATGTCAGATCTAAGTTACAAACGTTTATAACTTCACTGGGTTTTTGTTTGTTGAGTTGAAATTGTTCATGTAAATTTTTTGTCTTACAGCAAACATTCCAGAGAGACTTCTGAAAATGAAGTTTGGGGGAAATACATGTATGTTAGTCCTCTTGAAAATATCTGGTGATCTTTATTTAGAGTAGCACTAGTATTCTTCTGTTTTGGATTCTTCCTTTTTTTGTGAAATTAGCAAAAAGTTGCTAAAATGCTAAGACTTGGGGCAGCGGACGGGGGGGGGGCGGTTCACAGTTCATGTATGCTCTCAAAAGATATTTTAGGTTTTAAACTATCTGCAGGTTTGTTACGACCAGCATACCTGAGCCTCTCTTACGGCTTCTAACACCTCCACAAGCAACTGAGCTTGGTCTCTTCAAACTTGCAATAGCCTCTGCTAATTGCTTTGAGCTAGCGAGAAAGAAGTGCAACTGGGAGGGGGAAGCCTCTTCTGCAGTCGAAGCAGAGCCCAGAGACAGTAGGCAGCTGCCCAGGGTGGCCAGTCAAAAAGGACAAACTATCTTGTACTTGAGGGAAGTGACAGATGAGACAAGGATTTGGTGGCGATTGGTTAGCAAAGGGGAGGAGAGGAAAGACGCCACTGGCCACAGGCTCCTGGAAAGCCCCACTGATTCATGCTTCTCATTTCCTCTCTCACGTCGGCCTCCCCAAACATGCAGATAGGACAGTAACATCACAGAAGACGACAGGTTCCTGACAAAACACTGTGCAGAAAAGGTTCCTGACAAAACACTGTGCAGAAAAGGAGATGGGAGCAAAAATCCAGAAAGAGCATGAGAAAGCAGGGCAATAAGAAGCCCAGGGAAGAAGAACCCATATATTGGAGCCAGCAATTAGGCTATATTAGAAAAGGAGCCAAGGAATGAAATCCAGAATACTGGTATTCCAACACTGCTGTCCAAACATCCCTGAAGCCAAGTAGTCCTCTCCATGGCATCTTCCACAGAAGATGACAAGCTGATATGGATATTGGATCCTGTCTCTAGCAGTGGCGTTTGTGTTGATGGAACCAACCTGCAACTCAGCTAATAGCTTACGTGGATATCACATGATACCCCAAGATGGCATTTCTGATTTTTTTGGCTTGGTTTACTTATTTAGAAAATTCTCTGCACACATGCCGCCTATCCTAAAGAACAGAGTTGAAGCTGCAAAGTCGAGCACTCAGAACTTAAGAGCTGTTTAGGCAGCCACGTTGTAGCCTGCCTGGTACATGCACTACAGTGCAGCCTAAGTGTCTGATCCAGTTGAGTTTTCTGTCTCCCTCAATGCACAGG